AGTCTTACAACTGAAACCTTGATTTATTTTCTACTGTTTGGCTGCTTATTTATTTACATTTTTGTGTTACTAAGCATGAATTTAAATGATGCATTCAAATTCATAATGTTTGGAAAATATTTTTTTCAATACAACAGAGTATGATAAAAGTTTTTAAAAACAGCTGTTTTTAAAAAATATTTTAAAGTTTCCAATGCCTCTTACAGGTTTTCAAAGCCTTAATATTTTCTAATACTTTATTCTGTTAAGTAAAAGTAGTTTTATATTTATAAAAGATTTTCAAGCCCTTCTGCAATTTTTAATAGCCCTAAATGGAATCTCCACTTGTGTGTGGCCAATTTTCAGTTATTTTTGGGTAAGCACTCATTTCATTCACAGACTGACAGGACTTCTCTAGAGCTATGATTCCTGTATCAGAAGACCTCAATTTAAAGAAGATGTCAACTAACATCTATCAAGCCAATCACTAGAAAAAAACAAAGCTGGGCAGTACCAAGTAATTTTAACAACAAGTGTGAGCAAAAGAAGAAGTAGTTCTGTCCTTTAGCACTTGTAGGGGTTGCAGGGAACAGCTGGATAGCTGCTTGTGAGATTGTGAGCCTGCTTGCTACACAATGTGAACGAGTCTGAACTGTTGCCCAAAAGCACAAATCTACTGATAAAACAAATGGCCATTCGTTGACATTAACGACAATATCGAAGGAACAAATGTATGATTCCAGCAAATAATTAGAGGTGATTACGAAAATTATACTCAAAATTATACTAAAAATATTTATGTAGATAATTGTGATCATTTCTAACTTGAAAAGTTTCTGTGCATTTGACCTTTAGATATTACATTCATCAATAGTTCTGTTTTTTCAAAAAACTCTGGTCTAATATGAAAATGACGGTGAGATCATTTACTAAATAAAAAGAAACAAAACAAGAAAGAAAATCTCAAGAGGTTAAAGTGCATACCATGAAAAGACTTCAAATTTATTTAAGAAAAAGTGAAAAGACAATTTTATACATTAAGGCTTAAATGTATGAATAAGATTTGCATAATTTGTCATCAAAAGTAAATTATTTTATTTAAGGAACTTTGTGGATGCTGGCAAGCTAAAATCATGTGTCATTAACAAAAGTGTTTATTCTTCAGTGATTCTTACAATTCAGAGTGAGTTCTACATAGGAAGAGGAGGGCTGCTTCCTCCTTAGTACTTCTCAATGTGGCTCCTTATATTCACACTCAGCTCACAAGGCTTCTCCACTTATCATGAAATCATCCATCCAGTGAGGTAAAACTAAGGATTGTCTCTACAAACTGTATTGTTGAAGGAAAAATGCAAGAAGCATATAGATACACACATACTTACCCTGAGTTAAAGAGATAAGATTTCCATATAACACACATTCTTTCTTTTTAAAGTTTGAGAGGACTTCCATATTATAAATGTCCACAGTTTTCAATGATTTAGGACTGAAATTAAGAAAAAAGATTTTGTACAGTTGTACAAAATGGACATTCAACATTCTCATCGAAAGCATTTCTTGCCACTCAAAATTCACTTTTTTGTATGCCCCTATATAAGGTTCATATTTCCCTTCTCAGCAGCTTACACTAGTTATAACAGCATCTAGTCTACTTATGCACCATATTTATTTTCTAGCTTTTCCTTAAGAACATAATTGCAAGGAAGTAATTATGTGCTAGTTATTAACTAAGTACCTAGTCCAAGTTCCTACCTTTGAACTTCTCCCTCTAAATAGGGGAGAAATAAGATACACAGAATAGAAATTCCAAAATCTTTTTTTTAGTTGTGAAAATACCGTAAAGAGGAGCTACAATTACATGGGCAAGGTAATGAGTACATTTCTTATCAAGCATTGTTGCCTCCTCCTTTGTTTTCCCTACCTATCCCTTCCCATCTCCCCTCACCCACCCCTATCCTCCTGTCTCCCCCTCCCTCCCACAGCCAAAGTTGTAAAGTTCGTTTTTCAACATAATGACATGTACATCTCATTGTTGCAATGGGTCCACCTGTATCCCTATTTAAACGATTTGTTGTTTTCCCTTCCTCTCCGCAAATTATACCAACATAAAATACAGTGAAAGCAGGGTTATATTGTGGAGGAGGGACATACAAAGCAACAAAGGAATCATAACTATGTTGGAAACAATCGCATGAAAGAAAAAACATTTGAATACTTATCTTGGGGTTCATTTCACCTAACATCAACTTATCTGACCTTTTCTGCTTGTCTCAGACTATACTAGTTATTGCAAATTAGGGAAACCATGGGGCCTATGTTTCTTTGGACCTGGCTTACTTCACTTAATATAATTTTTTCCAAGTACATGTCTGACTGTATAAATTACTGCTCTTTTTAAAGTACATGACAAAGATGAAGGAGAGAACATTTGAAAACTAGTCTTTTACACAATATAGAGAAAAATGAAGGAATAGATTTATGATTGTAAGCATAATTGCTTTTGGCAAGTATGTATATATCTAGGTTTCAAAATTCATGTTTTTCTAACAGAATCTTCAAAAACAATGCATGGTTCCATGGAGTGTATACCATCTCAATTTTGCTAAGAAAGAAGCTATATCTAGAGTCTTAAACTGACAAATGTGTCAGACATCAGAGTGCTTTCCCTTTGTTACACTCTTCTGTTAAATTGTGAATTTCCAAATACCTTTTATGTTGTTCTAGATTAAAAGTTGTGAAGAGTATTCGAAGCCAGACTGAATACACTGAATATCACCTATCTATCTATCTATCTATCTATCTATCTATCTATCTATCTATCTATCTATCTATCTATCTTATCTCTGTGTATATATATATATATATATATATATCAAGACATTATACATCAATCTAATTGTTTTTTATCACCATCATCATCATCTTTCTGTCCTCTATGAATAAGATAGCATATAGTCATCCATCCTCAGTATACTATGTAATTTGAACAGTTCTTTGAGAAATAAAGAATTTTAATACAAAAGACACAAAGACCAGCAGAGTGCTACAGTGGAAGTGTACTGGGCTCATAAAAGTCACCAAGAAAAATACTGGGGAGCAATAAAAAATCAATACCATGATATCTTTTTTGAATACAACACCAGAACCCTCCACAACAGGGTTTATAGACTGCCTACCATAACCAGACATTAATAAAAGGTAAAGCATTTTTAGACATATTCATGTATCCTTAAAATATCTCTTTAAGTTGGGTTCAGGTTGTTTATACCTATTATCTTACCACCTCAAGAGGCTGAGATCTGAAGATCATGGTGCAATAGAAATCTGAGGAGGAACATCTGTGAGACTCTTATTTCCAATTAGTCACCAGAAAACTGGAAATGGCACTGTGGCTCAAAGTGATAGGCACTAGCCTGGGGGGGGTAATGAAAAACAAAACAAATAAACAAACAAACAAACACCTCAGGGACACTGCCCAGGCCCTGAGTTCAAGCCCTATGATCAATTATAAAAAAGAAAAGAAAAGAAAAAGAAATATGCCTTCATTGTACTATTGTACTGCAATTATCATCTGGCAAACACAAATAAAATGACATTCAGAGAGACCAACTTATTTGTTTCAAAATTGCTTTGTATGGTAACGTTAAGAAGATATTGATACATTTGCCATGCTTTCTCACCTTTCTCTATGTTGATACATACTTTTATAATTTTCTTTTCTTTTTTTTTGGGGGGGGGGGGGTCCGGTTGTGGGGCCTGAACTCTGGGCCTGGGCGCTATCCCTCAGCTCTTCAGCTCAAGGCTCAAGACTCTACCACTTGAGCCACAGCACCACTTCTGGCTTTTTCTTCTGCTTATATAGTGCTGAGGAATCGAACCCAGGGCCTCATGCATGCAAAGCAAGCGCTCTACCACTGAGCCACCTTCCCAGCCCATACTTCTATAACTTTCTATAGAGAAGAATTCATATAGTGAACAAACCATCTATGTGTCATATTTGTCCCTTTTCTATTCAGTATAATTTTAATATTGTGCTATCTTTGATTCAAAGCTATCATTTGTGAAAGTATTCATTCCTGTGAAACAGACATTTTTTAAATGATGAAAAAGATGACCTGCTAGAAATATTGACTGTAACAGATATAGGCCACACACATAGGCTCATGTCTGTGAACCTAACTACTTGGAAAGTGGAGAAAGACAATGCAAAGTTTGAGGCCAGCCTAGGACAAAGATTAAAGGAGAATTTATCTCAGAAAATAAACTAGTCATGATGGTTTCTTATAGCCATTCTTGCTAGAGAAAGAGGTAGGAGGATGCTAGTCCAAGGGTGGCTGGGGCAAATGCATGAGACCCTATGCAAAAACACAATAAAGCAAAATGGGCAAAGGCATGACTCAAATGGTACCCCCTTTTCTAACAAGTGTGAGGTTCTAAATTCAAATCCCACAACTGCTAAAAATAAAGTATATTTCTAAAAGAATCAATAGCTTCTGTATTGCTCTTGATGAAAATAATACCCTAAATATTGCAGTTTAATTGCATATATAATCTCACAATACAGGTTGAGGATAGTGGTTCAGGTACAATACGACTTAATAGATATTGCAAGTCTACCCACTTTTTTGTAAGTAGTTATTTTATGACAAAATAATATTCTGTAGATGTACCATAGAGTCTTTATCCAATTATCAGCTGTTGGGGAACCTAGATATCCAGTATTGTAAATTGTGTTAGCATAAGAAAGTACATACAAGGATATCAAAAATATCTCTTATGTATTAATTCACAGTTCTTTGGATATATGCCCAAAAGTGATAGAGCAGTAACATACCATAGTTATACTTTTAATTTCAGGAGTAATCTTCATCCTGATTTCCAAAAAGGCAGTAATTATTTATGTTTCCCCCAATCTAGTATGATGATTCCTTTCACCATATTTGCATTTCTTATTTGTTTTCTTGATAGCCATTGTGGGAGAGAATGTAAATGTCATTCTCCTTTGCCTTATTTTTATATAAATATACATTTCCAGACAGGATCCAAAGAGGACTTTTACTATTTCTTCTCTGGGTTTTATGGAGATTTCCTTTACCCTTCTTTATTAACCTCCTAAGACATGACTCAACCTGAAAGGGGCATAGGAAATGATAATAAAGCATTATTATTTGTTTTTGTGTCAACCCTTGGGCTGGAATTCAGGGCCTGAGCATTGCCTCTGAGATTTGTGTATAATACTAGCACTCTACCACTTGAGCTATAGCTCCACATCTGGCTAGTTATTTGGAGATAAGCATCTCCAAATTTCAGGCCTGGGTGCCTTTGAACTGTAATCCTCAGATACCTAATTAGATAGGATTGCAGATCACTGTTACCTCACTTGATTTGCATTTTTTAATGCTAAGGATGCTGAACATTCCTTCAAGTAAAGGCAAGTATCATATTTTCACATATTTATGAAGATGGACTCAAGATAGCAATAATACAACATGATTTTAAAAGAGAGACTGAGAAGATTCAGCAAGTGGGAGGAGGGAAAAAGAAGAGAGTGATGGTTTGTTAATATTATAGAGGTACATTATATACATATATGAAAATTGCAGAATGAATCCCACTAAAAATTGTTAAATGGAGAGGGATATGAATTAAGTGTAGTATATAGAACAGGTTTTGTCAAAGTATATTATATCCATGTTATAAATATCACAATTAAGTATGCTTATATAATTAATTTATGTTTATAAAGCTTGATTAAAAACTTATACAAATATTAATATTTCTACATCTATCATGTTATACTTTATCAGTGTTGCTTTGTATATCAATCTAAATATCTGGATATAAAGTCAAGCAACTGTAGCTCATTCATTTATGTCCTAACTTGGCATGTGTGTTAAGTTTTAGTTGAACAAATTATTAAAGTGACTTAAGAAAATTCTTTTTTGGAAAAATTCCACATTTATAATGGTTAAATAAGATGATTAAGATGAAAGTGTTTTCTGAGGTTGACAATACTATGTACATTTGGTTGTTTGTATTAGGCTTGGGATTACTGGCATTGAGTTATTAACATTGAGTTATAATAAATTTAAAATCCTGATAACTAGGAAGACATAACTTGAAACAAAACTGTGTCTCAGGTATTGTTCTGACTAGAGAGTTATACCAATTTAAACTTTTAGTACATTTATTGTTCATTCACAAATGTGGTCAGGCATTATTTTAGTTTCTCTTACATATGAAGCAGAACATTTGAATTTTGTCCTCTCTCTAAGTTGACATTTCTGTGAAAGACAGAAGTGTTTTAAGTAAATTTTACATCTATTTACATGAAATAAGAGGCTCTGATACATAATTAATGATGCAATAGACACCTTTTAAATAAAGATTTGTATCGCCCTATATAACTAATGACACTCACCTAAATGACCAATTGGTGTCATTAAATTTACCAACTACTTTGCTATCATTAATTCTAATTAAAGTCTATGTACTCCTTCCATCAATGTGTAAACAAGTTTTCTAATTAGGAAGCATCATCATTAATAAATTTAACAATGCTAAGTTAGCCATTCAGGTGATTTAGTAGTATAGAGTGAAATCACTTGACTTGGCTTGTATTGCTTTTCCTGTCCCTCCTCTGCATTACATTTGAGGACATCAATATGATAAAGTTTGTCTCACCCTAACTTTCTTTACAGCAAACTTAGTGCATTTGGCAATGACCACTTGGGAGACAGGCCATCACTTGCAGGGAGACAAAACTCAATAATGAAAATTGCAGAGTCTGAAGGAGAGATAGTGATAGAAACATGAAGTATTTGTCATAAGTTAAATGATCAGATATCAAAAAGTTGGGAAGCCTCCAGTTTGCTCCTTATTTGTTTATTTCTCTTAAATACCTAGAATATATAAAACACATTACAAACTATCAAAGGGAAGCATAATAAAAGCCTTTGTAAATTAATACAGTAAAAGGGGGGAGGAGGAAATTGTGACTGATGTGTACTAGAACTGGCATTTGAACCCAAGCATTTGATGCTAGTATGTTTGCTCTTTACTATGATAGTAAACTGTATTTTTTCAGCCTTACAAAAATAGGAAAATTATACAGCACAAATCTAAAACCTTTTATTTTGCTTTATGAAACCTTTAATCATTTGAAACTAATATTCAAAGAACTTGATTAGTTATGAAAATGATGGACAGTGTCTGAACAGACAGGATAAAGAAAGAAAACAATTATTTCCCTTGCACAAGAAAATCAAACAAAATAAAAAGGAATACATTTTTGAAGTTTTATTATGTCAGTCACTGTCTAAAAATTTAAGCATATATTATTTCCTCTAACATCTTTAACAAAATTGTTGATGAGGTGACGATCAAGTCTAATACAACTCTACTTCAAAATAACAGTTACACTTACATGTTATTTGTAATCATATACGCTTATAATAATCTTATCATTCCACTATCAAATTGTGGAAAAATAAAATTACATGTAAAGCGCAAATGTATCTGGTATTTTTTATATTTAATTTTTTAAATGTGTGAGCACAAATTATATACTGAGTATCACTGTATATTAGCCAAAATATATCCAAGAGGTGTTAATGGATTTTTGTCCTCACAACAGTCATATCAAAGCCTTAGTATTTTTCTCAATTAAAATTTAAGTATATTAGATAATAATCATAAATTGTATATTGTTTTCTGTTTAATTAAGTTTTACATTATAATAACACAAAATAGATATCACTTATTTTTGAGGCAGAAAAGTAAAATGATCTGTTATTGGAAGACACAGTGATTTAGATTCATAACGTGGTGCACCATGAAATGTACCAGCACTCAGTGTAACTCATCAATAAATTCTGTTCTTGAAGTGTTTTATGACATTGCTTTTATATTTACAGCTCCACTTGAACCTACAATAAAGGGGTAATGAAATCAAAGGAACTAGATTTATGGAGTATTTTGTTATCATTTTACCACAAAAATGACAAAAATTTATAGAAACTTTAAAAATTAGCTTCATTAGTTGAGGATGTTAAAGCAGAAATTCAGAGTTTTACAAAGTGTACATGAACAGATTCACAAAAGATTGATAGAGGTTTTAAAAAGAACACATGAGCTTATGATTTTTGAATTAGAAAGCAAAATGAGAACATATTACACTAAAGACATTCTAGAACACTATTGGTAATATTTAGGTGCAGGCACAAATTTGAGCATTCACATGAAATATAAGCTCAGCTTATTGGGATATGTTGCAACTCAACTGAACACTGAGCAAGTATATATCTTACCACATTAGAAAAAAAATATATTAAAAGCATTTGTGGAGGATTGTCAAAAACTTTCTATAATTTTGGACATGAAGTCATCCTGAAATTTAGGCTTTCATGTATTTTGTATTTACATCGGCAAAATTACAAGATTACAGACACATTATAAAATATAATAACAGCTATTCCCTAGCAAGTGCTAAGCTTGTGAACATTTCCATCCATTGATGGTTTCACATGGCGATATATACTCAAGGTATTATTCAGTTAAGTTTATTCACTGTTGTATTTTATGAAAGTGAAACATAGCCAGGTGCCAATGCCTTACACCAATAATCCTATCTGCTCAAGAGGCTGAGATCTGAGGATCACAGTTCAAAGTCAGTCCAGGAAAACAAATCTGTGATACTAACTTCAATTAAACAGCAAAATTAGGCAGAGTGCCACTGCTGCTCACATGGTAGAACTACAGCTTAATTAGTAAAAGCCAAGGGAGAGCAGAAGTTCCAGAACTTAAGCCCTGGTACTCGCACAAAAAGAAAAAAAAAACAACTGAAAAACCAAGAAGCAGAAGATATGTTTAGTATTCATTTCTTCTCAGCAATAATAACAATCTTTATTCTTAAAAACAGGCATCTATCTATCTATCTATCTATCTATCTATCTATCTATCTAGTACTAGAGCTTAAACTCAGGACCTTGAGCTCACTAGATAGTGATGGTCTATTTCTGGGCAAATACACCCAGCCCTCTGAGTTTATGTTTTTTGACATACATCTTCCATTTTCACACAAACTGGTCTCAGCTTTTCAGTCTTCTATCAGCACCTCCAAAATTATGGAGATTACAGGAATGTAACACCATGAACAGTCTTTCTTTTTTTCTTTTCTTTCTTTCTTTCCTTCCTTTTCTTTCATTCCTTCTTCTTTCCTTGTTTCCTCCTTCCTTGTTTCCTTCTTTCTTTCTCCTTTCCTTATCTCCCCTCTATTTCTCTCTATCTCTATGTCTCTGTGTCTGTCTGTCTGTCTACTCTCTCTCTCTGTCTCTCTCTCTCACTTTCTTTTTGTCAGTTCTTCGACTTGAACTCTGGGCCTGGGCACAATGTTTTTTTTTTGCTTTAACACTTGAGCTACTTCTGGCTTTTTCTGTGATTAATTGCAAAGAAGAGTCTCCTGGACTTTCCTGCCTCAGTTGGTTTTGAAGTGCCATCTCAGACTTAGTCTGAGACTAAGTGGCTACTCTAGTGGCTCACAGTGTGAGACACTGGTGCCTGGCTTCATTTATTTATTTATTAATTATTTGTGTGTGTGTGTGTGTGTGTGTGTGTGTGTGTGTGTGTGTGTGTGTGTGTATGTGTGTGTATCCTGAGGCTTGAATTTAGGGCTTGGGCCCTGTCCCTGAGGTTTTTATACATAAGGCTAGCTCTTTACCACTTTCAGCCTCAGCTCCACTTCTGTTTTTTGGTTGGTTAATTGGAAGTAAGAGTCTCACAGGCTTTCTTTTTCCCTAACTGGCTTTGAACTGTGGTCCTCAGTTCTTAGCTTCCTGTGTAGTAGGATTACAGTTATGAGCCACTGATATCTGACTACAGATTAGTTCTTGTCATGAAGTTTCACTAGTCTTTGTTGAGGTTCAGCTTCAGGATGTGATCCTGTCAATGTTTGCCTCTTAGAATAGTCAAGATTATAAGCATGAGCGGCTGTATTCAGCTCATGTTTTCCTTTCTTAAATAGTTGCTGTATGTCCAATAGTCTAATTTTGCATTTCATAAAGAAACTCACTTCTAAATACTTCAACAAAAGTATGTGGAAATGAGAGGGGAAAGAATGAGACAGCCAGTTGTTAGAAAGCATT